AAATACCAGAAAATATTGTGATATAGTTTTAAGTCCATATCGGCCATCCCTAACTTCCAGCTGTGAATGTTTCCGGAGCTGTTGTTGCATAACTGCAACAGTCATATAATTGAGGACAGAAGTTACTTTTTAAAGCTTTAAATCCTCATTGTCTTTTTCTTGGGTTTATCTGTTTGAGGCGTGAACCTGATGATTCCTTGTAAAGACTTCCTTGTAATGCTTTTGTGCAAAAGTACTTTATGGGCAAGGCGTTTTCATCTAAAATAACCGTTTCTAGAAACTCACAATGGGTTTAGTCAAGGAATTATTTAAACCAACCTAATTTAAGGATAATTTAGGACTTAATTATCCGATGCAATTCAGAATTGTTCTTCAGCATTGTCACAGTAAAGATTTGCAGCTTACGTTAGAGTGTCAAAGGCTCATGCAACTTGCAAATGTATTTAGGTACAGTGATGCTTTAGTTGGGAAGAATATGCCCGGTACATAGTAATTCAGTTCTTTATAAAGTAAAACTAATTTACTTTTTTAAGTTTTATTGGCATAATGCTTTTCACAATACATTTTGATCCAAAGCTGCTTTGTAGAATATAGTGCCTAAAAGGTGATTGGTTGGTTTAAAGTAACACCAGATAACTTTTGCTCTCGGGGTCCCCCTACAGTTGGGAAACAGTATTGTCCTCTACTACTGTCCTAAACTGTCATCCTAGATGCACTTGCATTTGTTGACAACCATGATAGCCCTGAACACTGCCATCATATCTGACTATAACATGACATATATTGCCTATATAACAAGCTCTCACTCGTTTATTTTTTAGCATTTTTGGGAGGAGTAAAATATACATATGTGGTTTCAACAACCAGATTGCGTTTACACCTAGTAAAGATCCGGACACAATGCGAGCCAGACTACCTCCAGATGTGGTCAGGCAGATCCGATCATGATCCGATCACAACGCATTTACACCTTGCATTAACATGCGTTTTTTATTATCCGGATAACTTATCTGGATACAGATCGCATTTTAATACCAGGTGTAAATGGGGTCTTCTAGACCACGATAACAGGTTGCCAGGTGGAGGGACACTTGTACTTTTTTACACTTTAATATTTATCTTAATGTTATAGGTCAACTACAAAAAATGATTCTGCCATCATTCACTCTTATGGCTTTCTTTTGTTGAACATAAAAGTAGAATTTTATTTAATTTTTTATCTATACAATTGAAGTCAATGGGCACCCAAACTGGTCACCAACGTTGTTTAAACTATCTTCTTTTGTGTTGAACAGAAGAAATAAACTCAATCAACAACATGAGGCTGAGTAAATAATGATTAATTTGATACCAATTTGTTTAGGATTATTTTTTAAGTAATTTTTACTGGGTCAAGGAATTATTCTAATAATAATAATAATACAGATTTTATTTACATAGCGCCTTTTAAGAACACTTTGTGGTGATTAACGGTTTTAGTGGGAAGGCCATAGAACACAGAGTTACAATAGTCCAGACATGAGTTAATAAAAGCATGGACAACAGTTTCAGCATCTTCGAGATTTAACTAAGGTTGTATACGGGTGATATTACGGAGATGGAAGAAACGTGATTAACAAGGGGGGTTCATTTGGAATCAAATACTACCTCAAGATTGTGTATAGTAGGTGAAGGATAAACTTTGACTTCATCCATATTAATGGAAAAATTTAGGGCCAACTTACAGAATTTCATTTTTTTTTTTTCAGTATTCAGATTTCCACCTTTACTAAGACTTTAGACAATCAAGTATCACTCGGCAATCTCCACACATTCATTAAAATGATTTCAAGATATTTTTTGAATATGACCAGTAATCTTGTATAATGATGTGCTAATTAGCAGTGATGGCATAACACTTTTAATATCTAGACACTTTTCTGCAGCTTTAAACTTGACACACTATATTACGCAAAACAAATTGATAACTAAAATGACACACACAAAAAAAATCTGCTGCATAATCTGGATCAGATGAGTGACCTTTGGTTGGTGGTATGTCCTTCACTGTGTGTCATGCTACAATAATCAAGTTGATGTTTCCGACTACGCCACCTTGGGAAATCCACCCAAAGAATTAAACACGCCCCCTAAAGGCACGCACAGGTTCTAATCACCATGAGAGCCAGAGACAGGCAATCATACAAAACACTTTATTGAAAATTAAATAAAAAGAAAAGGCATTAACATCATACCAACAGGAGTAGTCTCAGATAGAATAAACACCCTTAAATAAGGAAATCACTACAATTACAGTCCACACATATCGACTAATGTCAGTGACACACCACCACCCAAAGGTCACTCGTCTGCCCCCATTGCCCAAATCCTGCCGACAACAAGAGATAGAGGTATTAAAATCCAAATTTGGAAAGAACCTAATACTCTGTCCCACCCAAGTCTGCATCAAATCAAATCACAAAGTGCTTTAGTGGCCAAAGAGATCCCGGTACTCTATTATTGTTATTATTTATTTATTTTGTTGACTCCCTATATTGAAGGGGTTTTATATACAGCAGACAACAGACAACCTTATAAAAAATAATTCAATTGTGGATTTTCTTGAGCTAGAAAGAGATACTGAACATAAATAAAATGTGCAAAATGGTATTGAAAACATAATAATATAATAACCATAGAGCAGTAGAACATAAACATGAGTCTTGCTATGGTTCATTTCTTTACCCGTTTACACACCCTCTCCGGACCACGTTGCAAAAACCTTGTATTGAGAACAAATAGGGTTTGGAGGACCAGTCTGTGGATCGTAATGGAAAAACTGCTGGCTCTGAGAATTGAGCGGAGATGAACCAACGACAACGGATGCTAAATTAATATTACACTTTTACTTAAAGCTCACTTTAAAACACCATTGAGTGTTTAGATCATATTTCGGTTGCAGTTTAAAATGGTTTTACATTTAAAAAAAAGATGTTGAAATGTTAATTTTAGTATTTTATATGCCCTTAAGTGCTACACTTTACTGAGGATGTATACTGTAAACCTTCTTTATTCATATGAAAATACCCCAAATTGCACGAAAATCTCACACAAACCACATATTCTTGATATCATGCATTTATTAGCTTCTTGTTTCAGGGGAAGAGATGTGTCTAGCTTTGTTATCATGGAGGTCAGAAGGAGGAGTTTTTAATGTTTCATCAGGAAACTCAAGACTCTGCTGCTCTTGTATAATTTCCTGGATTCGGGACACCCTACATTCAGGCCCACCTTGGCTTAATCCACACCCACCCATCTATCACGTTATACTCTGGCGTGTCTCCTAATTGACGTCATCTGAGTCGGATGACGTATCGTCCCCTGTATTACCGCATTTGGTATTAAGATCTCTTGTATTTAACCTGCAGCAGTAACCAGATAGACTCCAGACAACACCTTTCAATATATTTCAGTCATGGCCAGACGACCTCAGGCCAATTGGCTTTATGCACGGCTGCACTACTTCTTGAACTTCAGCCAGCTCCTTGTTTCCTGTCTGCCATTATTGGACAAACTTGATTAATTCAGGTGTGTCTGATTATTGTTTTTGTGACTACTGAGTTCAGACACACCTGGATTAATCAGTTTGTCCAATAATGGCAAACAGGAAACAAGGAGCTGGCTGCAACTGTGCATAAAACCAATTTCAGAGAGAATCCCGCCAACATAAAGAGTACTACAGTTTTTATTGAATAAGAGCATGGCAAAGGTGACATGATACATTACATACATTTTCTACAATATGATTGGATCTTTAAATAATTCAGCAAACTCTTTACTTCACTTTGTTACTCAAAGTCACAAGTTTATGTATTTAGACGTCTGTCAAGTTTTACATCCCCTTTTGTTATTTTGTGACACTTATAACATATAAAACATATAAATGTTAATCCTGCAAGAAAAAGAAATGTTGGTTATGATTCATTTAAAAATTCCATCACATTAGCAACCATTATAGTCTGCGTTTTACAACTCTTTGAGCGAACGCAGACAGTGTAACATTACTATTACACTATTATTAAGGGTCTTAAGGTTATGCTTCTTCGCCTGTGTTTTGATCAGAAGATTCTGGACTCTTTCATAGTAGTTGTCATGTTGTACTTCAGTACTATCATGGTGTTTGCAATTAACATAACATGAACCATTCGTGTCCGTCATTTTTTTTTATTGGTTTTACATCTTCAATCAGCTGTCACTTTAGCATGAGGCCAGTAGCATAGCATTAGCACCTCAGCTCCACCCACGTCCTGCCTCTTTGCCCATTTTATTTTATATGACAAGTGACGAGAGGTGACGCACTGCCAAGATGGCGACGGCCGGCCCCGCCCCCCTTTATGCTTCAAAAACGCTCTTCAGAAACCTAGGGATGACGTCACGGACACTACGTCCATATTTTTTTATAGTGTATGGTTTAAACCAAGCGTGCCGCACAAGCCCAGTAAAGCCAAAACATCTCGATCGCCCCCCGGTGGCCGGTCCTAGTATAGGTCATAAACCCCGCCTCCCCATGTTATTCAACGGCACGTGAGACCAACTAAACAATTAAATTACACTTCATCTTTTTTCCAAAGACAGTTTCTGTCATTTATTGTTTTGTTTTTTTTAAAATAAGTTTGTTTTTAGCTAGTTATTTGATGCGGTGGTGTGACGTCATGATTGACAGGTGTGATTGACAGGTTCTCTGAGTTAAGTAGTCACTGAAACTTTTTTCGGGATCTTCGGAGGACTGAGGAGATTGGAGCTTTAAATTTAATATCTAAATTTCTGTAATTGATTATTTCACACCGACATAAATAATTGGTTGTTCTGCAGTAGAATGTGTTAACCGATCAAGCATGTCTGACCGATTTTTGAGGGTTTTTTTCGGTAAGTTAAAGGTGGGGTATGTGATTTTCTTTTTTGACCATTTTTTTCAAAATCACTTGAAATCCTTTTCCTAACCTACTTACAGAGCACTGAAATGAAAATTAAGCAATTTAATCATCTGTGGAACGGGCAGGACTCGAAAAACTCAAAACTCCAGTTTTACAGTTGCCATGGGAACATCAGACTGTTGTGTTTTTAGATTGACAGAAATAATGCAGCGATATTGTAGGTAATGGTAGTCAGTATATACATATATTGATTCTGTAAATCATTGGTACAAATCTACAGTTTTACAGCAGGTCAGAAGAGTAATCACACTGTTGTTTCACTTAGAAATCAGTCAGCATTGGTGTTGTTGCTTTCAGACACTCGGCGAAATAATGAGAGGGAACCACAAAGCGACACTCCCTCACCAAAATAGTGTTCAACCTGTAACACAAAAAACAGATTTTACTTCTTAAGCCTTTATACTTGAGGTAAATAATTATATATATATATATATATATAAGCCTATATGCAAAAATAATCTCGCAGACTATTGTGAAAAAAGAGACTTCTGCAGACTTCTTTTTGCATATATAAAGAATAAGAAATTTGATTATTTTCAACTTACGTTACAAGTGGAAGAGTGATATCAGAGGCATTTTTGGGTTTAGGTTTACTGTGAAGAAAGAAAACATGTTATGTAATGAAACTTATATTGAATATTTATATATTATACACTCCCAGAAAAAAAAAGTACGAAAGCTGTCACTGGTGCTGTACCTTTTCAAAAGGTACACTTTTGTCCCTTTTAGGTACTAATATGTACCATTAAGATACCAAAATGCACCCTATAGGTACAAAAGTGTACCTACTGCCCCAGTGACAGCTTTTGTACATTTTTTCTCTGAGAGTGCATTTTCATAGAGGCCTTTTAGACATAACTTTTTCTTAGCATGCGCTTTTGCCCAATTGCCATCCAGTAACTACACTGCCAAAAATGCTTTTTATTTGTAGTTGTAAATAAAACAAAGATTATTGCAGTTGTTTTACCAGAAAATACCATTTCAGTCTTTCTACTGCAGAATGTGTTAGTTACCATTTCTTTGTAAATATGTGTAATAACTTAGTGAAATCAGTTTCAAAGTAAATCCTACACAAAATGTTTTTCAGCGCATGAAATGAGATCATAGTGTGTGTGCTACTTACATGCTGTTAATCATGGTCTTCAGGCAGGCGATGTCATCTGTGATGTCATCATCAATCAAAGCTATTGGAGGAAACAGAAAAGAGTCAAAACCTTAATCAAACTGGCTCACTGTAAATGCTTAGAGAGCCATAGGAATCTGGCAGTTTATGAGTCCAGAAATTCACAAATCATTGTTTAGGATAGTGTTATGTAGGGCTGGGTAATAAATATCGATTTCTCGAAATTAATCGATTCTCATTTTTACGAACCGATATCGATTCTTAAATCTCAAGAATCGATTAGTCATCCTGTTTCATTTGAATGAATGGGACATTGTATCACGGCTGCGCGCATCCAAATCTTTGTCCTTTGTTAATATTGATATGAAACAAAGTCTCAATTTTCAAATTACGTCCATTTTCTTTAGAAATTCAAAAACATAAATAGTGTTTTGGCGTGAGATCGCTCTGGCGCAGCTCTAGAGAAGCAGCAGCGCTGATCTCACTTCCGGGTTAATAATACCAGTCACAGCGCCAAATAAACATGAATGAGCATCTGAAAGTGTGTTAAAGATAGAGTACAACTTATCGAAATCCGTATCATGTCACATTGATTCGCTCAATCAGCGTTTCAACCGAGGAAAGACGTCAGTTAAACAGCTTGTAATCAATGTCATCGTCATATTTACCTCAGAAAACCCACATCAACTCGTTAGTCAGCTAGAAAAAATAACTCTTGAGAGGAGCATTTTGATAAATATACACATCATATTACATATGCGTTATAATCTTAATGTTCTTCAATAATTAAAGCATATTTGAATAAATCTGGCAAGTTTTTATGACAGCCACCATTTAAATGTTTATATTTCATATAATCTTCTTATTATAAAAATAAATAAAAGTGTAATTTAAGTGATTCATTCATTATTACCTTCATATTAGGCTAATGAAGCCTATAGGCTACAACTAGACTCCCATAGTTTACAGCATTAGTTAAGAGATTTGATTTCCTTGAGAAAAAAATGGCATTTATTGTAACTGATATCCAAAATAATCATAATTTCGAAATCGAATCGAATTGCAAGCTTGTGAATCGAAATCGAATCGAATTGTGAAATTTGTCTCAATACCCAGCCCTAGTGTTATGATTGGTGTGGTATTTTCTCACCAGAGCAGCTCATGTTGCAGACATTGAGCGACGGCACCATGCCAGAATCACAGGCCACCTGATCACTGAGCTGAAACACGCCGTACAGCCGCCAGACGGGCCGCGGCTTGTGATGTCCAAAAGAGTGGATCTCATTCTCTTTAGGCTTGGGGGCGATGGTTTTGACAAAGCTGGTGTTGAAGCCTGAACCATTGGCCTTGCAGACAACTGCCACAGAAAGGAATAAAGGGTGTGAACCTTTTATCTGCACATCTAGAGCCCTATCTTGCACCCGGCGCAAATGACTTTGTACACTGACGCATGTATCATTCCTATTTTGCACCTGCGCAAAGCGGACTTTCCCCTCCACAGACGCACGCCAGTAAACTAGGGATTGAAGTGGTGCTATGTTGCAGTTCCAGAAAACAATTGCGCCACTGACCAGAAAAAACGTAGTCTAAAGTCAGTGACTTGTTTCGCGTACATTCAGATGCTATTTTAAGCGCGCATGATTGGCCATATTACAGTGTGAAGAACGCGCATACACTGTAGATGATTCTCTCATCCACACAGATGCATTTTACTTTTTGCAAATGACACATTATTATAAGGAAAAATATTTAAACTCGAGGGAAATCATTGTTGTGTCCATGACGACGGGGAAAAAATGGGCATAAAGCTTACACATTTACCCAAATTATCATAGGCATGTTTAACCAAAGCTAATTTGGGTGGGTTTGTCCCATCCCCAATGTCACTTCTCTTTCTTTTACGGCCCTGACGAGAACATCGATCTCCTCGGCTGTGAACCGATTGTGAAGCGCGCCATGACGCTCTTATTGGTTTATTTCACGTTACGCCCAAACCTCACCTATGAATAATGAAGCTACTTCAGACCAAAACTTGCGTCGGGCACAATAATCATTTATCCTGCCGGTAAAATAGCAACAGCGCCCAAGACCCGCCCTCAAAGATACTTGCACTTCCTTCGCGCTTGATACTTGCGTTTAGATAGAGGCCCATGTGACATAAATATATGGATAGAGAAGGGAATCTGTTACTCACGTTTTGCGATGAGATCATCCACGGTCATTTTGTCTCCCATGGCTCTAATCACCCGAATCTGAGCCGCCTCGAGCTGCTTTTTCAGCTCACATTTTCTGAGGATACGTCCCTCAGTTGCACTGGACACCAGCAGAACCAGAGCCAACGCCGCCAACATCTTCACTAGGAGAACGCTCTTCATCTCTGATATCTGGAGGTTAAACACAGAGACGAGTGAAAGCAGAGATAGCTTCTTTTCATTCAGATTTGTTAATTCAGTTGCACAGAAGCGCATTAAAACGACTCATTTTATGCTGATCATCCAAAAAAAAGTGCTTTAAACAATGCATCACAGCTGATTATATCAATTAAAGCAACAGTAAAGACATTTATATTCTGAAAAAAAATCTATTTTAAATTAATACTGTTCTTTTGGGCTTTAATTCTGAGAATCTGAGAAGTATAAAAGTACAACACACAAGAATATGCAACACTGATGATAATCAGAAATGTTTATTGAGCATCAAATCATCATATTAGACTGATTTCACACTGAAGACTGCTGGAGTAATGATGCTGAAAGTTCAGCTTTGATCACATGAATAAATTACATTTTACAATGTATTCACATGGAAAACATCCATTTCAAATTGTAATAATATTTCACAATATTACTGTTTTTACTGTATTTTTTATTAAATAAATTCAGCCTCGGTGAGCAGTAGAGACTACTTTTAAAAATATTTAAACATCTTACCAACCCCAAATGAAATATACTGTATATTTGTTGCAGTCACAATGACCAGCAAGCATTCCCTACCAGTTTAATCAAAGAACCTGCAATCAAACTGCTGGAAGAACCGTATTAAAATTACTCTTACCAGATGATTTGTTCTTGGATGTTTTGTAGTCTTCACTGTCCTTCTGTACTGTGACCCATCAGACTTATATATGCCAGAGTCGTCTCCACCTCAGCTGCACCTGTGCTTTCAGTTCATCCCAACATTAATACTTTTAATTCATTTAACAATTAAACGTTTTTGGTCTGAATGTGTGTAAGGGGAAGATGGTCTCGCCCTGTTGAGTTTTTGGTTCCTCCCAAGGTTTTTCCATCCACCCAAACCAGTCTTGTACCCTCATTGTTCCCTAAGTAAAGAAAATTGCTGTGATGTGACAGGCAGGTCGTTTTAGTTGGTATCTTTCATATAATTTCCAGCTGTGAGTGTTTCTGGAGCTGATGTTGCACATTTAATCAAGGACAGAAGTCACTTTTTAAAGCTTTAAGAAAAGGATTTTTCTTGGGTTTATCTGTTTGAGGCGTGAACCTGATGATTCCTTGTAAAGACTTAATGCTTTTGTGCAAAAGTACTTTATGGGCAAGGCGTGGTCATCTAAAATAGCAGTTTCTAGAAACTCACAATGGGTTTAGTCAAGAAATTATTTAAACCAACCTAATTTAAGGATAATTTAGTACTTAATAATTATCCGATGCAATTCACTTGTTCTTCAGCATTGTCACAGTAAATGATTTGCAGCTTACGTTAGAGTTTCAAATGCTCATGCAATCTGCAAATTTATGTTGGAACAGACTAGTGATGCTTTACTTGGAAAGATCGCCCGGTATATAATAATTCAGTTCTTTATAAAGTAAAAGTAATTCACTTTAAGTTTTATTGGAATAATGCTTTTCACAACACATTTTGATCCAAAGCTTCTTTGTAGAATATAGTGCCTAAAAGGTGATTGGTTGGTTTAAGTGGATGAAGAAGAAACCTTGGGAGGAACCAAAACTCTCCAGGGAGAGACAATCTTTCTCTGAGAGGAGCATCAAATATTAATCTCAGTATTAATGTTGGGATGAACCAAAAGCACAGGTGCAGCTGCAGGTGGAGGCGACTCTAGCATTTATAAGTGTGATGGGTCACAGACAGTGAAGACTGAGGAACAGTTAAAGACCCTCATTCATCTGTATCTCCAACAGGACGTCTGGTAAGAAATTAAATGTTTCACAAAATGCATTGTGCATTGTAAAAATAAAATATTTATATTGTTTAAATAAAATGTATATTGTGAATACATTTATAAAAAAAATCCAAGCAATTTGCAATGTTCATTTTTTTTAATTCTGTCTAAAATAAAATAAAAATGTATTTAATTATTAGTTTTGTTGTTTGCATGATCTAAAATAATGACATTTTAATGCTTATTACATTTCCTCATTCTACTCCATATCAACGTATCAGCAACTAGATTTATGAAGACACAAAACAATCCCCCATAATTATGTTCATAAGTATTGTTAAGTATTCTGGAATCCTTTAAAGGGACATGGTGATGAAAAAAAAATATGTAAATGCATTTGCATTCTCTCCCAAAAATTTTTTGTGTTCGCCCGTGAAACTTTGCATTTTGCTCACAAAGCTTTTGCATCCTTGCAAAATGTTTGTCTTACCCCAAGACACTTTGCATTCACTTGCACAACTTTTGCCTTCCCTTGATAAACCTGTGTTCACTTGATTTAATATAACAAGGAAAACAAAAGCACTCCAGTTTTTGATTTTAATGTTTATGATAAAGTGACATTATTTAAAAGCCCTCAGCAGGAGCAACACAATGATATTAGGCACAGTAATATATATTTAGACAGAACATAAATATTCACAGTATTACAGAAATAAACTAAAGTATCTGAATGCACAAACTCCCTATATTATAGAGCCAGACCGATATATCGTCCGGCCGATATTATCGGCCGATATTAGACATTTTCCATAATATCGGTATCGGCAGTTATAATGGCCGATAAATTAATATTTAAAAAATAAAATAAAAACGGATGAAAAACGCTTTAATCATCTCTCCTTGGCCTGTTACATTGAAAACGTATGTCTATTGCTAAATTATGGCTCATCATAGACTAGCTAACCACAAAGCTAGCTAATGCCACTATCATCAGTGGAAGAACGCTAATGAGCTTGGAAACCACAATGAACTTTTTCTGCCTAAATAAAGTAATTGTTACTGTATTTATAACTAGCATATCTCTAGTTACAGTCCCTGCATTGTAAAATGTAAGTTATACTTGCGAGGAGTGAACATTTAGACATAGAGAAAAACTAGCAAATGTATCTTTTGCAGAAAGGTTAGCTTTTCTTTTACACGTGTGTGAAATCCAACAATATTTAATAAAAAAAAATATCGGCCGATATATCGGAATATCGGATTTTAAAACCCAAAAATATTTGTATCGGTATCGGCCTTCAAAATCATTTATCGGTCGGGCTCTAAAGGTCATTGGACATTTAATAAACTCACACAGATACCGCCACCATCATATTGACCTCATTACCAGAGGTATGGAAACCACCAGACTGCTGTGTTTGTAAGTAATGCATTAGGGGTAAGCGAGGGCGAGTCTGTTGGTCCGTCTGTTATTTTAAGCACAGTCTGCGAAGTACTTTGAGGTAACGACAGAGCGGCACTCCTTCACCATCAGCATCTTCAAACTGTAACACAATATAAACAATCAAACATTCAGGCCTGTTATATTGTTCAAGCCTCAAACGCATTTCTATTTTGTATTATTCTGTTTTTTTGAATATGCATCTGCCATGTAAAAGCCTGTGAAGCTGATATGGCAATGCATTTAAATACGATAACTAAATTTATGATTTGTACAACTGTAGTTTAACCAGTAAAAATATCTAAACTTACATCTTATTAACATTAGTGGGTTTCTCTTTGGGTTTGGATTTCCTGTTAAGAAATAACACACATGATATTTACAGTTTTAGTTCTTTAAACACATTTTTTTTACTATGTGATTCTTATTATACCAAACCAACATGAAGAAAAACATGTCCTGCTTTAAATTTATTTATATAAATTACTATAAATTTAAATGTATTAATTTAAACACCGTTGGTAACTAAAGCAAGCCTGTTTTTGAGCTTGTGTGAACTTACATGCTGTTCATCAGGGTCTTCAGGCAGGCGATGTCATTGCTGATATCATCATCAGTCAAAGCTTTTGTGCAATAAAAGAAGAAAAATGATTCAAAACAGTGCTTAATTGGCGGTTTGATTAGATTTTAAACGTTTGCAGTATTCACTCTCTTTCAGATTTTCAATGCAGAAATTTAAAACACAGTGTGGTTCATGATAAATGCAGGTCTTTAGTACTACATTTGATATGCAGTTTTGGCTCTCGATGCGTTTCGGTCGATCGGCTCACAAGTGGACGACACTACTTACAGGTGTAAACAGGGTCTAAAACGTTTTGAGCTTGTCCAGCTCGGAAGTTGAAAACTTAGACCGGTTTGCTGTAGTCGTGTAAAGCTCATGTGGTCGAGTGTGTTCAAAAACAGCCACAAAAGACTGTCTTCTCTCGGTCTACTGATTTAATGCGTAACATTATGAAGAGCTCTTGCCAGACGGGGTTTAAACTATCGGCTGGAGACTCAAGTTTGGTTTGAAGATGAAAAACATACCAAGCAGAATGTTCTCTCATCACTCCTGATTTCTAACACACGCTCGCAGTGTTCGGCTGATCTTGCGTCTGTCAGAGCAGAAACTAAAGCTGATGCTCTTTGTGTTTTTCCGTCTCTCTGGTCGCGTTCATATGTTAATAGCGAGAGCTTATTTCGTCCAATAGCTCGAAAGAAAACCCAGACATTTACCCTTCCCTTGAGGAATCAGGACAAAAGTGGTTGAAAGTGGATAAAAGAAATGGATTAAATGTACAAGATGTACAAATTTTGTTGTAAAATTTCCAAAAATCACTTTCACAGTGACATATTTCCCGCAGTTGTGTACCTATAATATCCCAAAAGAAATTCCAATTTTAAATAAGTGGCATTGAAATATGTCAGTGATGTAATATCCGCGCTATCCTCGCTTTCCGTTCATACTGCCATAGCCATGATGAAACCATTACGACAGACGTGGACTACTGCGTAGCGCGTAACGTTTAGTGGAAAACTTTAGTGTAAAGCATTTCTTGTCTCTTACATAGACCATGGCATGCAGACTTTGGGACGAACAAGGAGAACTAAAATGAGGATCAACATCAGCGCGGTATTTTTTAAAATGCTGAGAGTTAGCTTACGCGACTAACTTAAACTTGACAGAGCTTCACAAGTCACGAATTGACTGCTGAGCAAATGTACATAAAACAAATCAATGTTATAAAACGTTAGCTCAACATGATGAAATGTTAGAATATGGTCAGTATGTTATTCTAATGCTTACTACTAGCAAACAAACTAACACGTAGTATAACATTACTGTATAACACACATTTAAATGTCGTTTAGTGTGATAGTGTAACATTAGACCAAGTGAAACAGCGCTGCGTTACCTCACAAGTTTAATTTGTTGAATAAACTGACCTGTGTGAGTAATCCAGCACTTGCCGGTAGTTCGGGAGAATTAAATGTCCTTATTCCTTCATATCCGTGGGACTCGCGTGTGATATCTGTCTCTTTAGCAATCGCGACCTGCTTTATACCACTGTAATGTTAAAAAGATGAATGTTTGCACTCATCCATAAACATTATTAGCTTCAAGTCCCATCATTCAGCTCATCACTGCGTCATCAACCTACGCCTTAGTTATTGTTGGAAACTGCGCCCTCTTGTGGCGAAAAAACGTACATATTGTGCCTTCAAAGACCAGTGTGAGCGGGAATGTGTCTCCCTCGTCTACTTGTGAGCCGATCAACCCAACCGCATCTTAAATGTGTAAACAGGCCTTAAACTCACCAGTGCAGCTCATGTTGCAGACATTGAGCGACGGGATCATGCCAGAATCACAGGCCACCTGATCACTGAGCTGAAACATGCCGTACAGCCGCCCGAAAACTTTGGCTGTAGAGTTCAGGTGTGGATGCTTGGTCTCATGGCCGGACTCCTGTGGTCCTTTAGTGTGGTGGTCCTGTACGTGAGGCTTGGGTGGGTCCCGTGCGTGAGGCTTGGGTGAGGCCTGTACGTGAGGCTTTGGTGGGGCTTGTGTGTGATTTGTGGCTGGGCTTCCAGATTTTGCCTGAGGTGGAGCTTGAGCTGGTTTATTCTCCTTATTGTCGACCACGATGGCTTTGACAAAGCTGGTGTTGAAGCCCGTGCTGTTGGCCTTGCAGACAACTGCCACAGAAAGGAAGAAAGAAAGACGGAATTGACATAAAACATGGCAGTTTGGCATTCTGGAGACAGAGAGAAAAGCTGGAAGAAAATGACTCACGTCTAGCGATGAGATTTTTCACGGTTATTTTCTCTCCCATGTTGGTAATCTCCTGAAACTGAGCAGCTTCCAGCTGAGCCTTCAGCTCGCATTTCCCGAGGATACGTCCCTGAGTCGCGCTGGACACCAGCAGCACCAGAGCCAATGCCGCCAACATCTTCACTGGGAGAACGCTCTTCATCTCTGATATCTGGAGGTTAAACACTTTTGATAGATCCAGAGAACTCTGATAACATCTTCAAGTAAAGACAACAGATCAAGATTGCCGTGGAAAGGCAAAAGACCTTAACTTTGTGTTTGGTCGAAAATTAGTTTTTGAAAATTAGAAAATTTTTGGCACATTCAAGACCTCCTTTATCATGTGGATTAGTATCTTGAGTCAATTCCATTGTTTTTTTTGAGAAAATAATGGGTTGTCAATGCCTTTTGCCTTGGCATGACTTCTCACTTTTTGCTGACAATACAAAGGCAGAGTAATTTTAAAATAGTGGTCAAAAGTCGAAATAATGTAGATCATTTGCATTACTAAAACATCTAACTGCCAGATTTCCAGCGTTCTACCTATAATTAATTTGGCGGGACAACTACAAATCTTCAAAGTCATTTTTCTCAGTTCCACACTCGAGCGAGTTAAGGTCTTTTGCTTTTGTAGGGCCGAATAGTATTCAATTATTTTTTAATTGGGGGAAATATTTGTATATTTATACAGTAGCCAGGCTATTGTCCAACAGCGAGACACCCTTTACAGTCTATGGTTGACACACAAACCTGCGTCCCTTTACTCACTCGTATAATTGGCTCTGGATGAATATTGTTGGTTACAGGGTGAGGGATTGCGCATATTGATAATAAAACTCATTCCTGCAGATTTTGGGCTCACACCCAAAGTGGATGCACATAAAGACAGGTATATTGGCTATTTAAAACAGTATAATGGGTCTGTGCGTCATGTCTTAAAGCAACAGCAGCCTAATATACCGGCTGCCAAATAAAATATGGCAGATTCTCCCTATGGTATCGATGTAAAAAATTGTGACCAGTGAAAATGCGGAGTGGCTAGTAACTTTGAAAAACCAATAGCCACAGTGGCTGGTGAGCAAAAAAAGTTAATGAATGAATGAATGAATGAATTTATTTATTTGATCAGGGACAATGCAGAAAAAATCATTAATCTAAGAAAGAAGAGATGACATGTGCCAGGTTATAGCAAAAAAATGCTAGTTTCCGCCTGCAGTCCCTGGACAGGTTGATGGTATACTTACAACAATTAAAAATTATATACAAAATTATAATACACAGTTGATTCGAACACAGAAGCATCACTTTACTCATATCATAGGCTATAACACTCTCCACTACAAGAATCTTTAACTCATTAATTCACAGTTTACATCATTCGTATCACAGTCATTCAGTGCGTACAGGTTTGATTTGTTAATAATTCATAATGTCAAGCCCTCCATATAATAATAATTCAGCAGAAGCTTTCATCCAAGGTGACGATAAATTTTTTTCAATATATATTTTTATTAAAAAAATACATAATTTATGTTATCACCAAAGTCAGTCAAAACAATTTAGTTTTTTTTTTTCAATAATCAACTCGGAACATCTAATTATTAATTTGAGCGAAAAACATGTAGTAAAGTATCGTGAAGAACCGAATTGTCAAGCATCTTACCAGACGTGCTGTTGAAATGATGCTTGTTTGAGGATCTTCTGCTCAAGCGTCAGTGTTTTTCTGTACTGTTGTCCATCTTATATATGTTTGAGTGACCTCCATCTGGGCGGTTGGTCCGTCCCATCATCACGGAGAGATCGTACTATTGTGATGTCATTCATAAACAGATTGGAAGAAAATCACAAATGCTTGCTAGGATTTTCAGGTTGTCAGCTTTGTCATTTTTATTTATTTGTTTGCACTATTTCCCCCCGTGATTTCAGTGAAGTTTTGAAGCTGATGTTTTGTTGCTTGAGCCTTTGAGCTGTTTGTCTTTGGATAATGAGCGTACAGCCACACACACACTATAGAGGACAGTGTGTCTCTCTAAAGCCCTGCATCTTTACTCTGTTTAGTTTGGGTGGTTCAATGTGCTGACAATGGTTTTGGTCAAATTAAAGGATCATTTAATTTAAAATAATTTAAAAGTTTTCATCTTCTGCATTGTCACAACAGATGGGTTTCGTCATCCAGAGCTCGATCTCAGGAAACTTGGATATATTTTTCTCTTTTTCCATGCAATTTTACTTAATGGCATGCTGATCATTACATTTCAAACACTTGTGTTTAAGATAGAATAATATCTTGTGTTTTTTTTTTACTTCAGATGCTTTACTGGTTCATTATGACCAACTTTAGGTGGGAATTGTCACCCTATCAGTATCAGCATCTCAATCCAAATCTCTGAGCTGCGCTGGGAGGGTTATTTGAGTGTATTCAAATGGTGCACAAATACTGTGAGGCTTGCGTTGACCTTTTTCCAGCATGTAAATATGAATTCCACGTGGCACAGGACAAACAATAAACGTGATAAAAGAATAAACAATTTTTGCAAGTAAAATTTCAAAATTTTGCCTCCTTTTAAAATGTAATTTTATTATATAAACACAGAATTAATTCAATTGCACCTGATGACTGTGTTATTCAGCTCTGATCTGAGCGGGGTTGCCAGTTCTCCATAATGACACCAACCCAATGAGCAATCAAATACAGTCCAATACGGGTGTCCCTGTCAGGGGCCGAATTAATATGTTGGGAGAAATCGAGCCACAAAATAAAAATAAACCAGTGGCAACAATTTAAAAGTAGTCTGTGGACTTGGCAACACTGGAATTGAGAATGATCCAAGTCAAGTCACCTCGATTTATATTGCACTTTTTTACAATACAGATTCAGTGCCAAAGCAGCTTTACTGATGCTTTTAAATTGGGGATGCTTTTAAAATTGTATTGAATTTTTACTTCCGGCACCGGCTGTGGGCGGGACTGTGATGCTCTATAAGGACTGACTTCTGACCTGCATTGCTGCCTGAATCCAAAGAGCATACTATGTACAAAGTAGTTAACATGATCAATGCCACTAATTTGCTTATGTAATATATGTAATGTAATATGTCTCTGCTAATGGGAGGAACGGGCGTTGCACAATGGATTTGGTTAAATAGAGTTTATTTTTATTGTGAGTCATTATGAAGCTTGAGGCAGGTGCTCAGACAGTGGGAAAATCAGACACATGCACATAAAACAGAGGCAACACAAAAATAAATGTTTTGCGCCCGCCAAAAAATTAACGAAACATCTACTAAAATTGTTCGGGGGATTTAAATGCTGTAAAAAGATGAGTGTAGTTACGACGTCTACCAGTTAACTAGACCATGCAAAAACCAAATCCTGACTTTTTGAATGGTATACACTTGCTTTGTAATGAACAAAACGTTTATGTAAAACACCAATGAGAAATTTGAAAGGCTTTCAACCTTTCACTCATGCAAACTTTGTTTATTTTTTGTTTTTGTTTAAATTTATTGTGAAGACAGACTTAGACAAGGAACTCTTTTATGAATATTGTTTTATTTGCATTCTGAGGTATGCTATTGTACTTAATTGTGGCTATTTGAGAACTTTTTCTAAGCACATTTTGACAAGGAAGAGTGAAATACAGTACAACACATGTAGAAATCTGTGAGAACGTAATGTGTATGTACAGTAGTTCCTCTGTGAAAGACTTTGAACAAACAGCTGATTAACAAACACCAAAGAGGTGGTTGTAACCATGTTGGGTTTATTACAGTAATGCATCAGGATGAAGCTGGACAGAAGAAACACTTAATGAGAGTGTTAGACACACACAGCAAAGTACTGCAACGGGTTGACATTGCGGCACTCCTTCACGCACAACATGTGCTTCCTGAAAAACAATGAACACAAACTTGTAAAACAAGCTTTACATCTTGTATACCTTATTGCTGTTGCTTATCTTAATGTAATATATGCTACTTTTAACATAGGAGCACGCAGTTAATGTAATTTACATAAGCAATTGCCTTCTAACCTACGTGACTAACAATTGACTCCAGTTCAGTTTAACTTTATCATGTTGCTTAATGAGATACTCTTATAAATATTACAAACCAAATAGCAAAAATGCATATTTTCAGATATGTTTTTATGTTTTTATTAGGGCTGTCTGTCAAACGATTAATCGCATCCAAACTAAAAGTTTGTGTTTACATAATATATGTGTGTGCTGTGTATAAATATTTTATATAAATACACACACATGCTTGTATATATTTAAGAAATATTTTCATGTATACTGTATATAGGTTTATATATAATTTATATTATATATAAATATAAATATTTTATATATAAATATTTTTTTCTTAAATATACATGCATGTGTGTGTATTTATATATATATATATATATATATACACTCAAAATAATTATACACAGTGCACACACAAATATTATGTAAACACAAGCTTTTATTTTGGATGCGATTAATCGCGATTAATCGTTTGACAGCCCTAGTTTTTACATTTCAGAACCAAAAGGTCCAAATATATTGCCAATATTGATGAAAATATATTTGTTTTAGGTACGTTTTACATATATTTATATATTTTTCCCAGAATATATTTAAAAAAATTACACACACACACAGGCGATATTTAAGCTATTGAATAAAATATAAATATATTTATAGTCAGTATTTCTCGTGCAATTTTTCAGTTGCTTGACTTACTTCTTTTTGGGCCGAGGAGCGAAGACTGGAGCAGCGCTGTAAAACAGGACCAGGAATATTAATAAATATGCTTCAAGAATATGCTTTTATTACTTGTTAAATTATTTAGATGTTGGGTAATCGTGGAAAAAAAAATCATTTTAGTTTTATTTTATTTTACCTATATTAGAATGTTCCACAATCTAAACATTTGACGATTTACAATTAAAATGCATTGCTATTCAAATTAATTTAGCAGATTTGAAGCAACATCGACAATTAGCAATGCTCTAAAATTGAGTCATGCAAATGAGTGGTGACTACTAATGGGAGCCTTGACTGTGATCATGTGATTAGCGAGAACCTGCAACCCTGTTATAATTGACTACTGATTTGTAGATTTGATAGGTTGACAACTTACGCATTGGTCACGCTGTCCAACAGAGTCTTCAGGCAGGTGATGTCATCCCTGATGTCATCATCAATCAGAGCTTTAGAAGACACAATTTACCAGACGTCATTAAAACATGATCTACAATGATTCTGAGATTGTGATCAAACTAGGCTATTGTGTATATTGGGTCAATCAAAGTTTCGGTGTATTGTTTGTATTGAATGAATTCGCACAATCCCACTCTCTAATGTTTCCACAATCTGCCTACGCCCCAGTTAGGTTTAGGGTGGAGCGTCACGCTCACTTTTGTCTAAAAAAGTTGTACACTTGTACAAATCACATTACACAAGTGTACAAGATTGAATCTAATTGGTTTCAACTACATTTGTGACCAGTCACATGAGACGTCACTCAAACTTGACATTCTGAAATTGTGTTGTGTTTCCACTATTGGGCTGAATAACAACATTCAAATCTTCATTTTTCACCACTGGGGGTGTTTTCGTTCAAATCATGTGCGTATTCACGCACAATCGCTACCTTCTAAAATAGTTACGTTGTCTCATGCGAAATAATGTGTCATGTGACTCACCACTGCAGTTAATCTGGCAGATGTTCAGACTCTGTCCGGATCCGGAGTCGCACGCCACGCGATCGTTCAGCTGGAAGATCCCAAACAGTTTTGTGGTAACTCCTAAGGTTTCGCTGGAATCCTCCTCTGAACTGTCTCCAAAGATGCTAGGTGGATTCCTGTCCCGCCCCCCACCGGGGGATCTCTTTCCTCTTCCACCGGGACGGCCCTGACCAGGTCTTCCCACTGGTCTTCCATTGGGTCGTTGTCCTGGTCTGGGACGGGAATCTGCTGGAGATCCAATGGCGTTGACCAGGTTGGTGTTGAACTTTGACAGACGTTCAGCAGAACAGACGACTGAAAGAGAGACAGAAACACCCTTGGCTTACATTTGTACCATTGCTAGAATTCAACTCGCAGTGTTTACTCTCATAGACTTACTTTTGGCGATGAGGTCCAAGTCTACAGTTGCATTTCCAGGCGCAGTCCCATTTCCAACAACATCTCCGGTCACGCTTTCAATCCCAGGAGTGACATTTCCAGGCCCACTTTCTCCCTGATTTCCTCCCAGAGCCGCCTCGAGTTGAGCCTTCAGCTCACATTTACTGAGAATCCGTCCCTCAGTCGCACTGGACACCAGCAGAACCAGCGCCAACGCCGCCAACATCTTCACTGGGAGAACACTCTTCATCTCTGATAAACACAGAGGTTGAACAATGAATAAGTCCGAAGAAACAATCCCAATCTGCAGTGTCTTTAAACTGTGTCAATCAAATGCTTGCATTGAAGGAATCAGAAAAAATTTGCAAAAATTGTACCCTTAGGTTGTCACTCACTGGGACATCTTTACCCCTAAAAGGTTAGTACCTTAATAACACGTACTTTGGTATAATGCGTACTGTATTATTTAGGGTAGATAAGGTAAAACATGGTCCCGTTTTTGCCTTTTTTTCTGACAATGTTTCAACCTTGCTTGGTCAATCCCATTAGGCTATTTAAATACTGTTTTTTCTAATAATTCTG